AAAAAAAAAAAAAAAAAAAAAAAAAAAGGTGATCAAATGATCAGGACAGATATGATATGCGATTACAAGACAAAGTTGCTAGCAGACCATTTAAAGGCTAACACAAAGGTTCAAAGCATTGCAACAAAGACCTCAGTACATTACAAATGCCTAACTATTTAGGCTAAGCAAGCTTAGATACCAAATACAGGGCCTTGCCACGGTTACAGTTACTTCACATTTTCTAGCATGCTATGAAAATATAGTAAGTTATAGTATTAAGAAGTGGATGCTCATTATGCCAGTAATTTAAGATGTTTTAAATTTAAGTTTTTAAACAGATTAAGCATTTCTTTTACCTGTCCTCCTGAGAATTCTTCCCAGACCGCCTCTTATTTTTAGCCTCCCGGGGAGATGAACGGATTTTCTTGGATGGGGGACCTGAATCTCTTCCGTAATCTTCATCTGGACAGGACAGTGCAAAATGGTTTTGAATCAAACTCCTAGTTCCCAGCAAACTGACTACCAGCTCCACAGCAAACTGACTTCCTCAGCTACATCTTAAAACGACTATTTCAAAACACATCAATAGGAAGCCCTCTAAACATCACAAAGCTTCAAGCAAAACTTCAGAAAAGTAAAGTATTGTCTTAAACTAGTAATTTACATTTTCAACTGCCAACAGCACAATAAAAATGCAACATACAATCAAGTTTGACACAGAAGCATTAGGAAACATATAACAAGCTTCATAAGATGAAACAATATCTTATTTTTACAGCTAGTCAGAAACACACAGAGTTATTATGCAAATCTACTAAAAATTAACATCCATACATAGCTCTAGGTCCTTAACAGCAAAAAACTTTATTTATTGTCCTACGATGGAAAAAGTATATTGTTACATAGTAATCTACAGTGTAACTTTTTACAGTCGTTACACAATACCTTATACAATGAGCAAGAGGACCGCAGTTGAGAGTTATGCATATTTGTTTCCATTAATTATCAGTGCAGCCTCATTTAGCAAACAGTAGCAGCATGTCTATTTTCTAAGAACGCAAAACATATTCCATATGGCTTCCAGAAATATTTAGTCAATTCACACAGAACATGAAGATTTTTTTTAGATGTAATTCACAGAAATGCCTGGCATTATGGGATTAACTAGCGTTCACTAAAATAAATTGAAAACTTATTTTACCGTAGGAAAAAAAAAAAAAGAAGTGGCATCACAGAGATTTTGCCACAGAACCTAACACAGACCAAGGAAGAAGACAGTTGCTGCCAACAGCCTAAAGGCACTACAACAATACAAGCATTAAATAATAAGATTTCTATCACTATTGTTTGTTTAATACAAAACATCTGGGAATCATTACATTTTCAAATGTTTATTAACAGTTCAGAGACTGTGAAGAGCAGAAATTCCTTAGAGCTTAGGTTAAAAATGTGACTAGAAGCAAAGCAATTAATATGCAAAGTAATAAACTGCTGTAACCCAAGAATATTATATTGCTAAGAACAAAGTCATTTACCAGCATCATCCGATTCCTGAAACTGTGAGTAATCGACCACCTTCCTGTTCCTGTTAAAAAGGGGGAAAATCAGCAATTCATAATCTCAGAGATGCAAAACTTTCTTTAGCTAATAAGTACCACATCCTTGTTTCCAGTGCAGGATTCGTAGTTTAAACTAAGTCACCTCCCCACCCCAAACATCCCAAGAAACCTCTCACAAATAAGTCACCTATACCTTTGAAGTCAGCAACGAACGCACAGTATATTCTTAACATTTTCCTAGAGAGCCATTATAATAGCCTGGATTATATTCTCAGGCTTTGTAGGGGCTTTTTTGGATGAGCAATACTACCTTTTATTGGCTCACGACTGCAGTTAGGAAGAGCCACCTTAACTTGTGCCGTGCAGCTCTTCCACTATCAAACCCATACCGATTTTAGTAGTGTTGTAACATTTTCAGATACAATTACTGAAAGTAGTATTTAAAAGCAGAGTTGGCATCCTAAGATTAAAGATGGATTTAAAGATGCTAAACCATTTAATTACTTAAGGCGTAATTCTTTTTTCTTTTTAAATAGGCTGAATCTTTTTAAGCAAGACCTCCTCCTGACACCCAGTCTCAAAGCTAGGATATTTAAGAATAGGATTCCATGTATAAAACAAACAGGTGAACACACTCACAACATATTAAATATATTCCTAGTATTAACAGCACCTGTTAGGACAGACACTTGCTTGAATAAATATAAGTTTTCTATATGGCATGCGTTACTCTCCACATAACATCAGTCAGTGCTAATACACAGGCCAGGCAGGGATAGTCACTGCTAATATACTACTGAATAAAAAGCAAAGAAGCTTTATATCTAAGTATCATGGTTGTGGGTTTTCTGCAATCAATGCTATCTTCCAAACCAGATTACTAGAGGACCGTCAGAATGATTTAAAAGGGTAAAGAAAGGATTTATGACTCCTTCCTGTGCCCCTGCAAAAAAGATTCTTCACATTTTAAATAGCCTTTAGTGGTTTTTAAAATGATAGCCTTGAAGTAAAATTTAAACATTCAACTTTTCGTAGTCATGGTTGAAATTGTTGGTTTGACTCATTAACTCTTTAAACTAATTAAATAATACTTTGGAAAAAGTACACTAAAATGTTTTCAAATATCATCATAAATTCAAGAAACTATTTCCTAACTACTTTTGGGGTGGGGGAAGGATGGGGAAGAGGAGCTCTGCTTTTTGCAGCTCAATATAGTCATGCTTATTCTCGTACCTCCTTCTCCAGATATTTGCTCCCCCATGTGTTCCCTCTTTCTAAAACATTAGAAGTTTTCAACGCCTGCCACCAGGGTTTTCTGGGGCGCTTTGTCAACTCGTTACTTTGATTCGCTAATGAGATTTAAGAAAGAGTTGTTATGATGATTAGCTGCATTATTAGACACAACAATGGGAAAAGCTATGCATTTTATGCACCCGATATATTTGGATAGCAAATGAGCATGGACCCACACTTTCTTTACCTCATCAGCACCTTTTCTGATCTCTAAGCAAAATGAAATTAGCAGAAATAACTAGTTATCATTAATAATGCAAATGTAATGGCCAATTCTAGACAATTTTAGTTAACTAAATGAGCACCTGTAACTGAAATCAATGCCTCGCTTGCCAATGAAATTAGATATGCTTCTCAAACTTACTGAAGCCTAGAACAATAAAAGTAGGGTTTTGGCTATTATTTTCAGTACCCGTCCTAATGACTTTATTGGTAAGGTGTAACTGCCCTGTAATCCAGTTATTCAAGGGAATCAAGACAGCTATGCAATTGAACTACACTTGCAATCTAACACGCTGCTAGAAAAACCTCAATCATAGTCGGATACCAAATATCCTTCTCTTATGGCCAACACGCAACAGGGGAGGAGGAGAAGAAGGAGACCAAGGAAGGCATCAGAGATTCAAAACCCTACACACACATACCACACATCCCCCTTTTTTACAATCCCTATGACCCAAAGCCAATGATGTACTTAATTTTGCAGTAACAGTCGCATGAATATCACACTATTACAGCTAGAAAAGAGTTGGCAAGTGAGGAAATTAAGTGACCTACCCAGCATCACAGACTTGAGGACTGCTGCAAACAGAAGTCAAATCAAACGCTATTCAGTACATGAACCACAAGTCCATTCACTTCTCCTGAACTGCAGAGCGAGACTGCTGAATTTCACATTCGCTTTCCATACTTGAATTGCACTTTGAGATTAAAACCATGCATTCCTGATAAGATTGTTCAGTTGAAAGATACCCCCAAAATCACGCTGTTGCACTCTGGCTGTTGATCAACCGGAAATCAATTATACACCTCCCTCCTGTACGAGCGCCTCTATTCGTGGCTTACAGCAACAGTCTTCAAGAGAGGAAGCAGCATAACTAATTTACTTCAGTCCTACACCAACCCTCTGAAGAGGGCCAACCTCCCCCCAAAACCACAAAGAGTCCATGCAAACAAAAAAAGGCAAGACCAGTCATTACATTTTACAGGTTGAATCACATTCAAGCCTGAGGGGAACCATAAGTCTAACAAAGTACAACTGCAACCTGCTACAGAGCACTGCCCACTTGTAGTCTGAATACTGTAAAATACCAATTTAGGAATATAACTATTGGCAAGACATCTTCTGGTGCGCTATACAGGCTAAGCCTCAAACTCAAAACCCTGTTCCAACAGGCAGTCTTCCTGAAACCCGTCTTCTGCCACATCTCACATGTAAAAACACCAAGTTTATTCTGGTGACCATCTGAACAGCAAAATTTCTAAACAAGATATTTAGTTTGGTGCAATACATATTAAATTTTTCTCTAAAAATATAATCGGAAGAAAAAAGAGAATATTCTGTTCTAGTAGCTTTGTAGAACAACGCTTTCAGACATCACTCATCTAACAAGCAAGATGGAAATTGTAATACCGCCACCTTGTAATAAATTTGTCATACTTAGCTTCATCTTGCTTATTTCAGTTAAAGATCTCTATTAAATTAAGAAGTACTGAAAAGATAACAGCCAGATAAAACATTAACAAAAAAATGTCACAGACATTCTTCCAGTTTCTAAGCAGTGTACTCTATAAGCGTTCAGCTAGAAAGTAAACCCTGATACGCTCTCATTGCCTTGTCTACAGGACAACTGATTTTTATATCATAAAAAAGCCACTATGGCAGAAAACAAGAGAGAAGGCTGTTTGTTTGTTTTTCTTTCTTTTGCTTTGCAGGACAAAGAGTACAGTAGGGAGAAAGAGGGAATACCTTCACTGATATTATTGAAGAAAAACTTGATGAAAGGGTCTTCCCACTAAAACCAGAAAAATCACACCAGGGCAGAAATATGAGATGAACTGCTCTTGCAGCTGCCATTCTCCTTATTCTATACTCATCATGCATCCCATTTAGATCAACTTAATTTTCTTTAGAACTGTCAACAGCACTCACGTGCCATGCTTAATGACTTTGCAAAGTCATTAAGCTTGCAGAGAGACTGCATCTTTTATTAGATCACCACAATAAAGACTGTAGAGTAGATAAGCTCACTGATGTTAGGATCTAGGTGGGGAAAAAAAAAATTGCTGGTTTTGTCAATGAAGAGTATCTCTTCCACCAGCAGACACTAAGAGATGACAGGACAAGCAACCAGACATTAAAAAAAAAGTATTTGTTAAATTCAGTTAGACTGAGCATTAAAAAAAAGACAGTCTAGCAGACAGCTGGGATGGATATTGTTCAACATGATTTAAAAAATACAGTGTAATTTTAAGATAACTCACTTGCTCATTCAGCTCATTGTTTAAAGCGTGCACGTGAGAAGGAACTCGGGGAGGAAAGGTATAAAGAGAGGTCCTGAAAGTGTAAGCTTTTAGTAACAGCTGCCAGTCCAAAATTTCTGGAATAAGAGTAATTCACCTCTTACTTAGCATAGCAATAGGCAAGTAATTTAATAAGAACTCAGAACTGTACTGTAACTCTTAGAACTAACACTGGATGCCCATTAGGCTGAAAACAGTTTTACAATGATGAAAAGCAATATTAACGTGCCAAAGTATACCTAAACGTCTACACAACTGATTAAGGATTGCATAATAATACCTCATCTTCAGCTAATGAGGTCCCCTCAAATTTCAATCTAAGTCAACATGTCTAGGATTAGATATCATGGACTAGATCTCCAGAGGTCCCTTCCAACCTCAACCATTCTGTGATCCTGAGATGTGTCTGTCAGAATACAAGAGTTCAAGAGTGGAATATACACAGCGCAATAACAAAACAAAAAGCTTTTTTTTAATTAAAAAAACCCAAAGAGAATGCTAACGTCCTCGGTATTTCCGAAGATAGTAAAAAA